CAGAAATGCTACACTAATCGACTCAGAAATACTCTGCAGAGAGTCAGTCGACATAAAAAACGCCATGTTTACACATAGAACTAAGCTCCGCAAGACTTTGTTTGTGAGACATGCAGCCACGTGGGACTTTTGGGGGCGTTTCTGGGCGGGGCTTGGTAAGGTCCTTTCCCCCAGTGGGGCAGGTAGTTGGAAGAGGTTTTGTGAAGCTGTCCCTTTGTTTGGTGTTTGCAACTGCTTTGGGCAGTTTTTGAACTAATTTGGTCTTGTTTGTTTCTGCTTGTTCTGTTGAGCAGGTTTGACTTTGCTCTAGTTTAATTTCACAAGCTAGAACCTTGTGTTTGGGAGGCTTGGTGCTCCCCTTAGTATTCCCTTTGTGTGTTCCCCCCCCCCCCCCCTTTGGGTTATGAGTTTACTTTGAATTGACTTGTTTGCACATTTGGTAACTTTAATTTGCACTTCACATTCTTGAGATTGTTAAACCCTTTTGTTTTGCATTAATTGGGTTAAATTGTATTGTGATTTGGTTTTGTGAAATCATCTTTGTAATTTATTTTTACATTCCACTTGTTTCTCTGGACACATTTTATGTTACCGCCCCTGAACCCCCAGACCTTTGGGGGCGTAACGGATGTCAAAAAATTTCTTGCTCTATGACAGAAAACAAATGTTCTCTGAGAGAAAGTATCACATCAGTTTTATTATCTTTTATTTTTTAGGTGCCAGAATAAAAGAATATCACATTATTTTCCATAGGTAAAACATCTATGAGCAAAGTCTTTATTTTTACACATGTACAGTTTTTCTCTACAGGGAGGTCATTGATCCAGTCTCCCCAGGTAAACAGCACCATGCAGTGTCTCCACACTCTCTCTGTTAATGGCTTCATGATCTCCACCAGAGCTTTGAGATCTTTCTCTGTGAAAGATCTGAGGATGGGAACAAGCAGGAGAAAAACATGAGGTCCAGGAGAACACATGGAGACACTGTGGAGAAGTCACAACCATGGGCGTAGGTTTGGGTAGGGACGGTAGGGACATGTCCCGACCAATATTCACGGGATATGAAAAAGTCCCGACCAATTTTTGCCATATTGGCTCAAAGAACGTGGATCTACGATCTTTGATTAGCAGCAACAGGCGGTGCGCGGAACGGAAGCTTCTTAGTTTGACATTTATTATGAGCCTCCGAGACCGTGTCGGAACGGTGCTGTCGGGGGGGTGGGGGGAGGGGGAGTCAGTTGAATCGTCGGACGTTCTTTGATTAGCTGCAAAAGGCGGCGGCTAGCTGGGCACACGCGTCTCCTTCTGAGTCTCCGAGACCATGTCGCCACCAAAAAAGAAAAGGACAGACATTAGAAGTTATTTCGCTACGTCGGCTGTAAGTACAGTGAGTGGACCCATAAGTTAGATATCTATCACGCAACGCATTTGTTGTAAAGTCCGGTGTTTAGTAAGGTCAGCACTGAATGTGAGGTAGAATAGGTCTGTTAATTATGTAATATTTTTTCACATAGGAAGTAAAGTGTTCTTGAACTGATCTGCTGAGTATGACTGTATCTGGTTGTATACACAAGATGTATGATATGGTTATGGTTGGGGGGAGGGGTTATTAAGCCAATGTGGTTTCCCCCCCCTTCTCAAAAATGTTCGGTGCTTTACAACCCAAAGTAAAACACTCCTTCCGGTTCTCTATAGTTGTTTTTCATTCAAGACTCTTGATTTATCCTTTGCTTTTAATCAAAATAATTATCTAATTTTAAATCTATGTTCTATTTAGGCACAATTTCAGAAAAATATATAATTGTGATCCTACAGCTGAATATTGCAGCACAAGCAACATTTCCGAAATATTTATTGATTTCCCTCATCAGTCTCTGCAATATTATCCTTTAAGAATAAATGTCTCAGCTGCTAAAAATAAATTTCATGTTTGTGCATTAAGGAAAGTCAGAGTCGACTGAACAGACAAAATATAATACCGACATGCAGAGCCTGAAGGCATGAAATATATTCCAAATGTTGCATCTTTGTTTTTTAGATTTATTTGTTTGTCCCTTTGGCTTAATTAATTTATTAGCAAATAGACCTTATAGTGTCCACATCTTTTCAATCTTCTCAAGAAGCTCCTGTACCTGAGTTTTATCACTGTGGTTTACATTGTTCAGGACATGAGACCTGAATCACAGCAACGTCATCAGCCGGTGTAACGTTGAACTGATGCGGTGAAGCTACCAGTAGCAGGAGAACAAAGCTGCGCCAAAAACTAACAAACACTGAATAGAAGGAGAGCTGCCATTGATACAGTTGCAGCCAGGTATGTTTTAATGTTACACAATACAGTTTTAGCAAGTTGTTCAAAGTCTAAACTGGTATTGTTGTGCATTTAAGGTGTAAAGTTTACCTTCGACCAAAGGAATCCCAGCGGGCCCCTTCTGTTGCGTTCTCAGAACGCCCCCGGGGGGCGGTACCGCCCACGTTTAGAACCACTATTCTAAACTGTTTTTCTCCTGTTTTGTGGACAGCCAGGGAGTTTGTGATATGTATCTTTTTAGTTCTCTAGAAAGTTGTTTTAATTTATAGTTAAAATGGGGTGTTTTGTTTGTTTTGGCCTTGGAGACCCTGAAGCTTAAAACTTCCCTAGGTGTATTTTCCTTCTCTTTTGATTGAGATTTTACCTAAGTTGTAAAATAAACTCTTTTCTGCAATGTGAAAGTCCAATAAAGTGAAAGTCCAAAGTGTTAACATTTGCCAAAACTGATTTCACCTGCAGAAAGTTTGCCAGGTTTTAGACAGAAAAGCTTCATAAATGCGTCTGTGACATCCAGAGTTTGCAGCCAGAATCCAGCAGTGTTTGATGCAGTTTTTGAGGGACCTAAGATTATTTTCATAATCATGCATTTTTACTGAATTAATATTAAATTTCAAAGCAATTAGAGGCTTCTAGTCAAAGAAGCAATTAGTCCTTATGAGTTAGTTTTTCTTGATTGCCTTGACCTGCTTAAAAAAGCTAATAATTCATTTTTTATCATCACTATTTCAGCAGATTAAAAGACACATCTTGTAAATGTGTCAACCCTTTCTCACTGGTTTGACACATTTACATTTCCTCACACTTTTCCAAACCAGGGCAGATGTCATTTAAGCAGTCTATAAGCTCCACTGTTTCAACAATTGCAACCAAACAAAAATCACCTGTTCCCAACTATTACAAGCTGCCTAGACCAGCATGAAACCACTGAAGCTCCTGTTTGACACTCCTTCACAGAAATATTCAAATAGTAATCAGTCTGTAGGCTTTGAAAGTCTCCATGTCTGTGTTGTTCTTTACCAGCATGGATAGAGGAGGTCAAGGCAGATGAGAATGAGAAATAGTGGATATTTCTTAATCTGTATGTTGCTGCTGTCAAGGCAACTGCATCTGGTTTATTGTTTTTTTGTTGTTGTTGTTGTTTGTTTGTTGCTGTTTGGTTTAAGGTGGCAATAGTTAAATTTAGTTAATTTATTTAATATAAAACATTAAGTTTAAATGTGTGGAAACATTAGTAAATTTGTGTTGATGCTCATTAGGTTTGGTTAAGTGTAGATTCAAATGCGGAGGGGGGGACCATTTATTTCGTTCCACGGACCATGTGTTGTCCAGGGAAACATTGGCTGGCGCACTTAGAGCCACATGGAGCATTCAAGCTGAAGAAGCTGATCGTAAGAAATGAAGCTTTATTCCTCTGGAGTCAATGCGTCTAATGAGGTACGTTTTGTTTATTTGTATCTTTTATTTATGAAAAAGATACATAAATAAATACTCCATTTATTGTGAACCCTTTTCTTTTTAGTTCTGACGGCATTTCTTTGGGGACTTTGTAAGACGTGTCCACAATAAATGGCTGTTAAACCCAAGAACTGTGTTAAGCCTTGATTAAATTCGAGAGGAGTTACTGACTGTAATATATATTTTATTAATTTCTTATTCTTGTAACAGGGGTGAAGAACCTAGACTGTGACTTGGAGGTGTGGACCTCAACTGGAAGACTAATCAGATAACTCTAGATAGTCTAGGCCAAGTGTTTTAAAGTGTGGGAGAGCTATTATTGACTTATCATTTACAGTGCATTTATAGCATTCTGCTGTGACTACATCTCTTTTAGCATTCTGTAAAAAAAATAAAATAAATAAAAAATCTCAGGGTATTGTAGAAAACACTGTTACATTTGGAGCATCTTCAGTTCCAGTCCATGAAAACCTCAACTTTAAATAATCTTTGTCACATTTCCATATTCTTTTTTATTTTTACTTTGCTTGGTTTAGATGCTGACTTCTTACTCACTGTAGTTTTAGGTACTTAAAATGTATTCATTTTGTCTATACCATAATAGTTACGTCAGGATTAACTTATTACATATTGGATGTATATGACTGAAGACAGAAAACTAGATTTGTTAGATCTGTGGTGAATGAAGCAAAACAATAAACCAAAAATGTATCGAAGAAATTAATGGACAGCAAATACTTACAGACAAAATTATAGTGAATGTAACTCAATTTCAGTGTCAAGAGTTTGTATCAAACCAAAAAGGGTTCTTGACATCGTAGCTTTATTTACATATTGATTACATTAATAAGGAGTGATTCATAGTCAGAAAATGAAATCTTGAAAATTAAAATCAGCAAAATTCTTTTGTTAGATAAACTGACTCCAAATATATCTTAGTTCTAAAGCTAATCTCAGAATCAACTCTTCCTTCCTGCTTTGTCTAAAAAACTGTCATGTTTTGCCATCATTGAAAGAGGAAGAGCAAGCAGACCCAGGTAAGCAGCAAAACTTGTGTTTTTATTCTCACCAGGAAGATTTTTGCACACACATGTGCGATCATACACAACCGTACTGACTTGAGTAAAAGTGTCAGTAGTATGTGTACATTTTTTCTGATTAGTTAAAAAAACTACTTTTTTCTACTTTAAAAACCCATAATAGAGGTGAGTACTTTGTTCTTTTCTTGAATGTGCATGTTGACTTTAATCAATTTCAGAACTTTCATCAAAGTTTTCCATGTAAGTGTTTGAGGAACAAATGCTGCCGATCCCAGAGCTGATCTCTGACTCTCTCACTTTGTTATTCAGCCATTCAGAAACTTGGTCATGTCCTCGTCGTCTCTGTTTCTCTGAAATGCTCCCATATTCTGAAGCAACATCTCCACTCACTGAAACAGAGATAGAAGTGTTATTTAAGAGAAGAATGCATGTAAGACATTAAATCATTATCATATAAAACTTACTGTCGGGAATGATATCATCTTTGCTCTCTGCTGTTCCCACATGAGGCTCTGTTGGTTTCTCTGGTTCCTTTCCTAAAGCTTTCATCATTCGCTCTATCAGCTCCTGTTCTCTTCTGTTCCACTCCTTTTCTATCTGTTTTTCTTGCCAAGGTGGAATCTGTAGTTTGCTTTCTTTGCCTTCATTGAAGCATTCTTTGTTGTGTTTGAAAATGTTAATAATTTTTTGGAACAACTCTTTGACTTGAACAGGAACATCAGAATTAAAGTTTTTTAGAACATGGTATCTGTTCCCACATTTCTCCAGAAGCTCCTGAAGCTCCTTTCCCTCTCTGACGATGTAATTCTCTACAGGGACGTCATTGATCCAGTCTCCCCTGGTAAAAACCACCATGCAGTGTCTCCACACTCTCTCTGTTAATGGCTTCATGATCTCCACCAGAGCTTTGAGATCTTTCTCTGTGAAAGATCTGAGGATGGGAACAACCAGGAGAAAAACATGAGGTCCAGGAGAACACATGGAGACACTGTGGAGAACTTCATCTTTGATCCAGTCAGGTGGTGTTGGGTCTGAGAACCAGCCTGGAGTTTCAACAACTGAGACTTTTACTCCATCAAACCTTCCTTCATGCTTCACACACGTTGAAGTTTCTATATGATCTTGATAGTTCTGAAAATATGAAAATAAAAAATAAATCTACTTTTGGAGCAATTTTGATGTTCAGTGAGTACTTTATTCACATAACACCTAAAGTCTGGGTGTTAGACTGTATGGACATTTTTGCTTAATCAAGTTGTGTTACCTTTTTCAACCAAGCTCTGTCAAAAGTTTTATTAAATTGATCCTTGACAAGAATCATGTTTCCAGTTGTACTTTTCCCTGAACATTTCTGGCCAACAAG